TGGGATCAATACCTGGGAAAGCAGGGGAGGGCGGAGGGAGAAGCTGGGCCGCAGTGCAGGCCAGCCCTACAAGGAGCTCTGGAGCGGGAATGACCCTTCTGCGTTGTCCCACTTGGGCCAACGCGGCCAGGCCCCCTGTGTCTCCGTACTGATCAGTCATTAAGCAGTGGCTATCCTGGGAAGGGGCGTGGCTATCCTGGGGAGGGGGCGTGACCTGCCCCAGAAAGGGGCTGTGGTCTGCTCTGGGAATGGGCGTGGCCTCCCTGAGAAGGGCCAGTGGGCTGCTTTGGAAAAGGAGCGTCCAGGTCCTGTGGGCGGGGCATGAACCTGGCGGGCCGCTCCTCGAAGATACCGGAGCTGAGGGCTGTCCTCCAGCAGCACCCACCCCCCAGGTGGCTGGGTTCGAGTACCTTCCGGGCCGCCGCCTCCCCATCGCCATCACAGCCCCCACTCACTCACCGTCCATGTCCTCACCTGCATCGGGGGCAGCTTCTCCAGGCCCCGGGGGCCGTCGCATCGCGCCCCTCAGCTGGTGTGGCTGCCCTGGGGTGTGACCCACTCCTGCCTGCTTCGCGTGAGACAGCCCACCCCCTTGGTGGCCGCGCCCCGGGGGCTCCTCATCTGGCATGCCGCCCCTTGGGTACGGTAGCCCCAGGTGCCCAGGCGGCGCCCCTGCTTCTCACTCAGTGAGACTCTTGTGTTTTGTGCTGTGAGGACCTTCTACACTGCCGAGCCCAGAGCTGCAGGTGGGGATGGGCGGCACAGACTCCCCGGGTGGGTCACGGGGGAAGAGAGGTTCTTTTGCTGCCATTCTTTGGTTCCTAAACCTGTGTGTTCTCATTGGGGCCACAGAACCATCTTTGAATCAATGCATATCCAGCACCTTGGAGGTTGACCCTCTATCCTTATGGAGCCCTGCCTCCAAGCTGGAGCTTTAGCTGTGCCTTTAAGAGGTCATTCCATTGCTCTCTCTGTCTGGCAGCTTCTGCATGGGGTGGCATCTGATAAAGCCAGTGGATGCCATGGTCATGGGCTCACTCCAGCACCTCCTTTGCTGTACAGTGGTCCCCTGGTCTGATATGATATCATATGGGATCCTACATCAGTGAATCAAACCCTCTGTGAGCCCTCAGACAGTGGTGCTGGCTGAGGCCCTGCAGGCAGGAAAGCTAACATATCCCTGAAATACATGTCTCTTCTCTTCAGAATGAAGAGCCAGCCCTTCTAGGGTGGAAGGGATCCAATGCAATTTGCCACCGAATCGCTGGCTGGTCCCATGATGGACAGTGCCCAGTTAGGAACTCAGCATTGGTTTCTGTTGCTGGCAGGTTGGATTTGGGGAGGCAACACAAGTTAAATCAGCCTTAGTCAGTGGGAACCCTTGCTTTTGGGTCCATGCATTAATTCTCTCCATGCCTCCACAGCCACTTGGCTCACATCTTGCCAGCACTGAGATGGCCCATGTAGAGGCTGTGGCTAATGGTAATTGTCAGTCATTTTGTCTGTTATTGTTTTGCACTCTTCTTCCGCAGTAGCTATTCTCTGATGGCATTAACATATGACATGAAGGTTCTTTTATTTTGTACCCACTCACTAATATGCCTTCGCCCCAGACATCCTTGTCCTTGACCTTCCAGCCCTTTTCTTTCTAGGCCCTTGAACAGCCAGCCAAGCCATTTGCTGTTGTCCATTAGTCTGTATATATTTGAACCTTGGGCCGTTTTCTCTTTCTGCTCAAAGTGAGCAACCAACATTAGCCACCCCTGAGTGGGGCTGTAATACAACAGCAGTCAATTTTGGCTCGTACCTGAATACCAAGCTGACCCAACTCTACATAATCTCAGGCTTCTGCCCCCTCTAGCAACTGGTCGTCAGGGACCCCCCACATGACTATGGGTGTGACTTTAGGTAAAGGTGGCTGTGTAGCACGAATAGGTGAGATGGGCCTCTGACAGTCTGCTCATTCAGCCTGCTCGTGCACTCTGGTCCGTGCAGATCCCCACGCCTGCCTCCGTAAATCAGCTCCTTTTACTGGAAGGGCTTCCTTATCAGTACGCTGGCTTCTGGCCCTCAGCCAGTACATAGAGTCACTTGTCCTGGCCTTGGGCTGGCCGAGCTGCTCCCGGCACGTGCTTTCTCGGGTGTCCTGGAAACCCTGGGATTGAGTGAACTGCAAGGCTCCCTGGGAGGGGAGGGCTGTCAGGGAGGAGAGAATTAAGTCAGTCTCATCTTTGCCTCCTCCTTGAGAGAGGTGTACGCAAAACAGTGCACACTTGGAAGGAGTGTCTTCAGTCCATCTGCTGCTCCATCCCTCCAAGGCTGCTGAGGTCTTCCTCTGTGACTGTCGCTTGGCCAGTTTCTCTCGTGCTTGCAACAATCTTTACGTGAAGCAAGAGCTGCTAAACTGTTAGGTGCAGGCTCACCATTTTCAGGCTCTGCCAAACCCTTGTGTCTTCTGAAGGGGCGTCTCCCTCACTTCCTTGGCTGGTCCTTCCTCCCTGGTTTCAACACTGTCTAGGGCTCACAGGGCTTCCTTCTGCAAGTGGCTGTCTGGTGTGTCTGCCTGTGTCTATGCCTCTTCTTTCCACCGTCGCCTGCCGTTCCTGTAGGGTGCGACTCCCAGAAACTCGCGTAGCAGCGTCTGCTCTGTCAGCCATTCGATGCACTTTTACTTTTCACCAGAGCCGTTCAAACCTACATCTCTGGGCCAAACCCCTCATCAGAGTTCCAGGGGCACAAAGTCGGGGAGATGGTTCCACCCTGCTGGGTACCAGCTTCGCCTTAGCATAGCCGCGGTTTTGGTGGGCAGAGGGCCACTGTGTGCCTCACGAAAGAGCTCTGACAGCCTCACGCCTACCCTTTCGCTGGGAAGCACCGTTTGGGGGCCTTTTAAGTTTTCGGTCGTTCTGAGCGGGGTTCTGCTAATCACGGGTGACAGCCTTGCCACAAATTTACAGCTGTCGGTGAATTATCTGAAAGCAAATCGGATGAAAAAGAATGTTGCCAACCAACGTTGTGCAAGTAGTGACAACTTCTGTGTTTCTTTGGGTGATTTTATATAGCTTTTTAAGCACACAAATTTCAAAAAAAAAAAAGAATTGTCTGCTTTTTTCCTTTTGTGTATGTATGTGTGCAGGAAGTTTATTGGGAGGAGTTCATTGGGGCTTAGCTTACTGAGGCTCACCAAGTGTCTGGATAGTTTCCTTGAGGAATGATGACATATCAGGGCCTTAGTGTTGGTCTCTGTTCCTGGAAAGCTGGACATTTACAACAGCAGTAGCTAGATCAGCCTTGGTGAGTCCATGATGTTGAGCCCATGCATAGTCACCATCATGACTCCTCCATTTATATGTCCATTTTGGCAGCATTGGGGTGCCAACAACTGAGGCTGGCTAACATCAACTGGCTAAGTCATTCAGTTTACTTGGTTGTTCGGTGCAGTTTCCTTGGCAGAAAGTGCAGTATTTATTGCAAGACGCCCAGCCTGGGGCTAAGCAAGGAGAATGGGCAGCTCATATGCTCAAAAGACCCGAACACCCTGATGGCTTTGGGGGAAGGGCTTTTAAAGGCAAGGTGAGGGAGGGGGTGGCGGGATACCTGATCAGCTTATGGACGTTCTTCTGACTGGTTGGTGGTGAGGTAACCAGGTGGTATTTCAGGAGGGAGCCAACATCATCAGCCTTCTGGTTCCAGTGGTCTGGGGTCTACACGCCGGTGGTCAGCATGCCCTTACCTTCTTCCGCCCGGTGGGGGTCTTAGTATCTGCAAAACAACTCAGGGATATGACCCAGGGTATGATCTATAGCCCTTGAGGAGCAACTTTCTCTCTCCTTTTCAGTGTTGGAAGTTTCTGTTGTCATATGCTCAAGCTCAGAGATTTTTTTCCTAACAATATCCGGTTTACTAAGGAGCCTATCAAAGGCACTCTTCATTTCCATTACAGTGTTTTTGATCTCTACCATTTCTTCTTGATTTTTCTTAGAATTTCCATCTTTCTGCTTATATTATCCATCTGTTCTTACATGTTGTCTACTTGTTACATTAAAATATTTAACATATTAGTCATAGTTTTTTTTTTAAATTTCTGGTCTAATACTTCCAACATTCTTGTCATATCTGACTCTAGTTCTGCTGCTTGTTCAGTCTCTATGAACTGTGGGGTTCTTTTTTAATGCCTTTTAGTGTGCCTTGTAAGTTTTTGTTGAATGATGGATGTGATGTACTGGATAAAAGGAACTTTGGTAAATTAGGCCTTTAGTAATGTGGTGGTGAGGTGTGGGGAAGTGCTCTGTAGCCCTATGATTAGGTCTCAGTCTTTTAGTGAGCCTGTGCCCCTGGACTGTGGACTTCACCACTGCTTCTCAGTCTCACGCCTTGACACAGGCTGGCTAGAGTTGGGTATTTCCTTTCCTCTACATGGAAGGAGAAGCAGGATGATGTTGGGTATCTTCCTTCTTCCAGGTAGATTAAGGGGTGATTAAAATCCCAGAATGATAAGCTCTGGTAAAATAATTTCTCATGAGGGCAGGCATAAGAACAGAATGCTCTGGCACATTTTTATTTTTATTTTTTTATTATTTTTTAAAATTTATTTATTTTATTTCCTACTACAGCACTGGTTCCCACAAGCATTTCTACTTGAAGGTTTCTGTTCTAGTAAGTTGTGATTCTCTGCATTCACCTGTCTGTCTCTCTAATTTGGGGGGCAGCAGTTCTCTCTGTGACTTCATATACAGCTTCCATCTGCCTTGTTAACAGTAGAGGAGAGTGGGACAGAAGCATTACTTCCAGCTGTTTTTTAAATTATGTTTTATTTTTTTGGCCACACCACACGGCATGTGGGATCTTAGTTCCCCGACCAGGGATCGAACCTGAACCCACTACACTGGAAGCGTGGAGTCTTAACTACTGGACCACCAGGGAAGTTCCTCAGCTGTTTTTTAAAGTGGGTTCAAAGAAGGGTCAACCAAAATGAATGACTTTTTCCTTTTTTCACACAGGTTTTCTCCTAGAGTGCCAAGACCTTTTCCATTCAACACCTCAGTCATGTACAAAAAGACTGTGTTTGTAGAGTTCATGGATCAGCATTTCCACATTGCCAAGCCCAGGCCACCATGGATGGGTAATGCAAACAATATTGACTCGTTGTTACGAAACTGGGTATCTTATTTCCTTGCAAGGATTCCCCAGTCTTGGGGCTGCAGTTTTCTTGGCCAGGCTTTCCCTTATTACCACCTCTCAGGGAAATACACTGGCTGAATGGTCTCAGTCTTCTTACTGGGCCCTCCTCCTCTGCTTGAGTGCCCTTTATTTTGGACCTGGGTTCATTTTATTTTCTCTCTGCTTCCAAATCCCTAGCTGATCTTATCCAGTCTCGTGGCTTGAAAATATCATACTTGCCAATAAGTCCCAAGTTTATATCTCTAGTTCAGACTGCTTGCTTGATACCTCCACTTAGGTGTCAAATAAGCATGTAACAAGATGTTAAGATGAGACATTTCCTAGCTTAGAATGATTGCTCAGAATTATAGGTGACAAGTACCCCCAAATTCTAAAGAGAGATATCAGGCCACCTATTCAGGACTTGGTCAGGTAGTGGTCCGAAATTGGTTCGGCAACCTTTACCTCCATCCTATATAAAAGAAGGTTAGGAACTTATGAAAGAGTTTAGATTTGAATATTTCTTTTTTTTTAAAATGTAATTAATTGATTAATTTTTTGGCTGCCTTGTGTCTTTGTTGCTGTGTGCCGGCTTTCTCCAGTTGCCTCGAGCAGGGGCTACTCTTCATTGCGGTGCGCGGGCTTCTCATTGCGGTGGCTTCTCTTGTTGCAGAGTATGGTCTTTAGGTGCGTGGGCTTCAGTAGTTGTGGCTCGCGGGCTCTAGAGCACAGGCTCAGTAGTTGTGGTGCATGGGCTTAGTTGCTCCGTGGTATGTGGGATCTTCCTGGACCAGGGCTCGAACCCAGGTCCCCTGCACTGGCAGGCGGATTCTTAACCACTGCACCACCAGGGAAGTCCCCTTGAGGATTTCTTTTGAAAGCATTTTGGTGTTTTGTATATTCCCATGGGGGGAGGGAGGCCTCTCCCTCATGTCAAGCTGCAGAGAGGGAGGCTTCAGGAGAATCATTTAGAAAACTTGACATAGTTCTTCTGGGGCTTGGAAGATACTGACTAGTGCCTGATTTTTATCTGGAAAAACTTTCAATGCCAGAGTGTTGGGGAGCTTCCCCTGATGGCATAATAAGGAGAGTGGGCTATAACAGAGGCTAACTGCACTGCAGCTGTTACGTGTGAGACCAGGAAGGTCATAGGACAAGACTTGCCTCAAGAAGACCCTGCCTGAGAGGACTTCCTGCCAGGGCTAGGTGATCCCAACAGAAAAGGTCTATGTGATTGTACTGTCAGAAGCAGAAACTGAGAGGAGAGAGAAAGTGACAGCTGGAGAGGGCGTATCCCATGGCAGGGGGAGGTGGAGTAGGACGTCCCCATATTGAGAGGGAGAGAGTCTCTAAAGGACTCATATAAGTTCTCTAAGAAAGAAAGACCCAGAATTTTGGCATGTGCCACATTCAGGGGGTACCAAAGCCAAGAAAGATCTTGTCAGCATGTATCTTTTTGCACTCTTGTCCTTTGTCCACTAGCTCCAACTTCAGAAAGTCCAGAGGCAGTAAAATGAGAAAGCAGTGAAGCTGCCAACCAAACTTCCTTTTCCCATTACAGGTTTCTGAGCCTGTTTCAGAACTGAACTGGAGGAGGGAGGGACCCTTAAATTGCAGGTGACATCAAAAATTTGATATTAGACCAGACTGGATTTATTAGTACCTAAAAATGATACTCTTAATGTGTGAAGGTTACTGGAAAAAAAGTGGGACTGTTCAAAATGCAACAAAGGGAAATTCCACATACAATTAAAAACTATGAAAAATAAACCTATTTCATATTTTCATCCCATTGAATCCAGTCCATTCAATAAAACCATTTGTAGGCATCTTATACTTAGTATGTATATAAGTCAGAAGTCTTGATTTTCCTCTAAATTTTCTGTGCCATGGCCTGACTACCACCCACTTGCACAAACCAAAATCACAGGAGTCATTCCTGGCTCTCTCACTTTTTTCCCCACCTATCTTCAATATCCAACCCATGAGCAAGTCTTGTTGACTTGTTGACTTTGTTGAAATAAATAGACTACCAGATATTTCTCCAGAAAAGATGGGTTTATTCAGGATCAGCAGAGAATTGCAATCTGGGATCTGCAACCATGGCAAGCTACAAACAAGTCCCTGAATAGCAAAGGGAGAGGAACACAGTTTATAGAGGGGAAAAGGAAGTTGGAAAGGCTAGAGTAAACAAAGAGTCTGTGGCTGCTCATTGGCTGAGTCCTTGCCAGGAAAGATGAGGAGTCTTCTTCCCCTTGGGTTCTGCTATTGTCACAGGGTGTGAGAGCGCCCCCTTCTGGTTTCCCAACTCTATTTAATTGATGTTTCTGTTTATTAATATTTTTTACACTCTTCCTCCAAAACAAGTCCCAAGTCTGCTTCTTCTAAATTCCAAATTCATCCAGACTGCTGTAGCCTACAAAGTCCTACATGTTATGTTCCCTGCCTGCCTCGATAACCTTATTTTCTACTATTCCCTTGCTCATTCACTTTGCTTCAGCCACATGTTAGTTTACCATATTTAAAGTGTCCTCTACTTCCTGCCTCATCATTTTCTAGCACGCCATCATCATTTATAGCATTTATAACAACCTACAATTTTCTTCTTTCTTTATTTACATGCTTAATGTCTCTAGAATGTGATCTCCATGATCTATCTTTTTAACTACTGCATCTCTCGTGCCTAGGGCAGTTTCTAGAATATAGTAGGAACTCAGTTATTAGTTGAATGAATAAATGCATTGAATGAATTGCCAGAAATCTGTCTTCAGAACAACTATGAGGCTGATCTGGTTATAGCAGTTTATGTATTCATTCATTCAGCTACTACTTTTTATCCATAACGATAGGGGCATGCTTCTCTACTGTGACTTTGACCATCACTTTTGTGATAACAGGTTTTCTGGAGTGCCACCCTCCAAATGACCTTTGGGGGACATCTCCTTCTTGCAGGTCTGCTGGGTCCTACCATCCAGGCTGAGGTTTATGACACGGTGGTCATTACACTTAAGAATATGGCTTCTCATCCTGTTAGTCTTCATGCTATCGGCGTATCCTACTGGAAGTCTTCTGAAGGTGAGTCAAATGCCCTCCTATTGTCCTGTCATCCTAGGGACAGAAGAGTATTGAGTATAAGGGCATAGAGCTACTGAAAGGTGGATTCAGGATTCAAACCTAGGCCCATTTCATGAAGTCAAGAACCTTGTCATTTCAGTCTAAACCCTAGAGTTTGTTGCTGTCCCCTGTTCTCCCTCGGGGAGCCAGGCCACGGATGTTAAAAATCCCACTGTAGGGGCTTCCCTGGTGGCGCAGTGGTTGAGAGTCCGCCTGCCGACGCAGGGGACGCGGGTTCGTGCCCCGGTCCGGGAAGATCCCACGTGCCACGGAGCGGCTGGGCCCGTGAGCCGTGGCCGCTGAGCCTGCGCGTCCGGAGCCTGTGCTCCGCAACGGGAGAGGCCACAGCAGTGAGAGGCCCACATAAAGGAAAAAAAAAAAATCCCACTGTATCTGCCTTCCTATGCCCAGAAAACTTCCTAGGGAGGATCAAGGCCCATGGTATAGAAATGAAACAGAATTCTCCTTCTCCTTCCTTAGATTCAGACTTTCCAGATATCTCCTCTGCCTCCCCTCCCCCCAACTTCTAAATATGTGATTAGGGCCAACTAGCAGAAGCACAAGCTGACCTCATTACAGCAAGCAACCTGTTTGGCCACAGTCCCCAACCCAACTAGCTTCTCCTTAACCTTCGCAGTGCAGGAAGGGAGTGAAGGGAGAGCCACAACAGACTGTGATATTGCCCAGATAGACTATGGCATATACAGATCAGGAAGATTCAAGCAAATCATTAAGAAATTATTGGAGCACGTGCCCTGTATTGTACGGTCTAACTATGCTTATGCGTTGACTAATTTCTCAGTCTGAAATTGGAAAGCATTAGTTTTCTAGGTTGCACTTGTTAGGTCAGGGCAGACCTGGACTGGGGGAAGGTGAAAGGCAGGAGAGGGCAGGTGCTATAGAGGAAAAGTCATCCCAGGGTCTGACTTGTGCCTGGCAGGCTATTTCCATGAGGTTTATCTACTTGGAAGCTTCCAGAACTAATCTAGGGGCATTTTAGAGAGACCAGGGTTCCCACAATTCTGCAGCTGGGAGCTGACCATAGAGATGACTCTTTTGCACCCTAAGCCTGGTGAGTTCTGGGAAAATAGACTATCATCTCTCACACATACATCTACAGTGGTTCTTCCCAGGAACAACACAGTGAGTCAATGGCTTAATGCCCACGCGATTTACGATCCTAGCACGAGCCTGTGTATTTATATGTTATGATCCACAGGCTCCTGGCCTTCTTAGACTAGCCTGGGGGCCCCAGGATGTAAGTTAAATCTGTGACGATGTTGAGTATCACTTCATATGCTTGTTGACCTTTCTGATATCCTTTTGTAAAGTATCTGATCAACTGTTTAAATGTTTTCTTGTTGAAAAAAAATGAATTGTTTATCTTTTTCTTATTGATTTGTAGAGGTACTTTATATATTCTGAATACAAATCCTTTGACAGATATAAATATTTGCATATCTTCTTCCAGTCTGTAGCGTGAATTTTAATTTTACTCTCTTAATAGTTTTCTTTTTTGGTAAACAGAAGTTCTTAAAGTTAATTAAGCACGAAAATTCAACAGTTAATGAAGCACAAAAAAGGTATCACATTTTTTTCCTTTTATGTTAGAGCTTTGTGTCTTATTTAAGACATTTGCCTATCCCAAGGTCATGAAGAATTTCTTCTATGCTTTCCTCTAGAAGTTTTATTATTTTCCCTTTCATACTTATATCTGTGACCCATCTTAAATTAATTTTTGTGTATGGTTTCCCTATAGCATCTTTAAACAGCTTTGTTGAGGTATAATTTACATACCACAAAATTCACTCATCTAAAGTAGTTTGATGACTTTTACTAAATTTAGACAGTTGTGCAGCCATCAACACAATCCATGTCAAGAAGTTCTGTCTTTGCAGTTCAAGCCCCAGTCCCACTCTCAGTCCCAGACAACTTCTGATCTGATTTATATCTCTATAGCTTTGCAAGCCTGTCATTTTTATCTCCCAAACCAACTCTGGTAAATTATATTTCAGTTCACCAAATAGTCATCTCCTCCCCCAGAGTGGCAAGAGTACATTTCCCTGCCATGTTGTTGTTGGATGTGGCCATGTGCTGTATGCCAAGATAGCTAGTTCACATGGAGTGTCTGTCAAAGGAAATTTCAAGTTTGGTCTTGAGCTGAAAATGGAAACCCAGTACTAGAGAAAGGCTTTTAATTTCTTCTCTGGACAAGTGGCGTTCTAAGACACCAACCTAGGCTGTAAGTAGGTCCACAAAATGAGGATCTGAGTAGGAATGAGATGAGGTTGGCCATGAGCTGCCAAACTTTGAGGGAGCTGTGAAAGACAGTATGGGGGCATACGAGTTAAGAAGTGCCAACCAAAGCTGCTGAGCAGACATCAGGCAAAGGAAAAATAGCTGAAGGCACCAGAGAGTGAAATGGAGTAGCCTCTGAAGCACAGCATTTGTCCTGTGGTAGAGTAGTCATGCCCAGGGGTCACTGAGCTGTGGCCCTTCACGACTGAGACCAACAAAAATCCTTGGCATGGGGAGTCAGAATGTGGGTCTCAACTCCTGCTGGACACCCAGGAATTTGGGATGTCTCAGCAAGGTAGCTTCTGGGGGCCTAGGCCAGACCTGGGGCAAGGCTGACCCAGCAGCAGCAGGGAGTTGAATAGAGGGCTAACCAGGACACTGGAAGCAGGCAGGCAGACTTTCTGAACTCTCAAATGTCCCAACAGTGTTCTTCCTCATATAATAGAAGATAAAAATTGCACAAAACACATTCTGCTTAGAATATTTGTGGTGGCTGATATATAAGCTCAGGTAAGACTCTGATGGAGACATTAGTAGATATGTGAACTTTAAAGGCTGTGCATAATGCTTTTTCCCAGGCACCGCCTACTTCACTTGGTCTTGACAAATCAACTTTGTCTTCACCAAAGGATAGACCTTGTTATTAGCAACCTGAGAAGAACCCCAAATCTCAGGTTCAAGCTTTCAACATTCTGAACATCACTTCCTACTTTTCCAGCTGTCATTCTCTCACTGCCCACTCCCACAATTCTTCATTCTCATGGGGATCCACCATGTACTGACCCTACAATTTTTCACCATCTGCCTTGCCAAGGCAGGTATAATTTTCACACGTTCTTGGCCTCTCATCAACCCCCCAACCCCAACCTTAGTATTAGGAAAAAGGACATTCTTTTCCTAATGAAATATTTCAACCAAATAAAGGTACAGGAAATAATAGAGCAAACAAACATGTACCCATTACCTCACTTTGGCAAATCTTAACATTTTGCCATGTTTGCTTACTTTATTTTAAGAAATTAAACATTATAGATATAGTTGAAGCCCCTTCTTTACCCGTCCGTGATCCCCTCCCTCCCTATGCAAATGTATTCACTATTCAGAATTTTATACCAACCCACAATCACACAGACACCTGAACCACACTCTCCAACCTGAGGTACAACTCACGTTTTTCTAAATGTCCCCCAGGATCTGCCAAGCACAGGTATTGGTCTGCTGTTGCTTCTGGATGAAGCCAGTTGTCCGTAATGCTCACTGGAGGGGCACCCCTTTACCAAAGAGGCTGACTGTATAGTGGGCCAGTGCAGGGGGTCTCTTGTACAGCTCTGCTGGAGAGGTCCCTCTATTAGATGTATAGCTGTTGTGGGGTACGGTGGGGTATAGATGAGGAGCACCCTGAATGCCTTGGGAGGCTCTGGAGTCCCAGAGACCCTGATGAATCCGAGAAGCTGAGGTGAGTTGCTAGAAAAATAGTTCAATAGAAGTATAAGTGTTACGGTCAGTGAGTTTCAATATTTTCTACTTCAGTCCACTGAAATGATGTAGAAGCAATGACACGTCACTAACAATGAAAACGTATAGTGGTCAGTGTAGAATAAAGGCATCAGGATAATCCAGGGGTCAATTTGAACATCACTAAGGATGGGACAGCCAGAAAATATCTGCCCCTGATATGGTCTGGCCCGCCAGAGAAGAACCAAGTTAAAAACAGCATTAAAAAAAATCTCTGCGTCTCACCCTTCCCTGACCCTCACCAGTGCTCAGTAAAGAGTCTGGGACAAGAGTACACACCCATGTATGTCTACTGAGTTGAACTGACTTGAATTAGGTAAGAAGATGTAATCATGAAAGCAGTATTGTTGTTACAGTCTGGAGGTCTCAGAGGACCACTCAACTGCTCATGTTTGCATTAGTGGTCAAGAACTCCTCTGCAATATATAAGGCTGCTCCCCATGTATAGCTGCTACTTGTTAGTATTCCAAATTAAGTTTCAGGAACACCGTTTCTTGTGTAGAGTCTACTGGTGACAATAAACTTGATGTTTCCTTGAGTGGGCAATGGGCATAGAAAGGACAATTTTATCCCTCCTTGATTTAGGTGCTGAATATGAGGATAAAACCAGCCAAAGGGAGAAGGAAGATGATAAAGTCATTCCTGGTAAAAGTCATACCTACGTCTGGCAGGTCCTGAAAGAAAATGGTCCAACGGCCTCTGACCCACCATGTCTCACCTACTCATACCTTTCTCATGTGGACCTGGTGAAAGACGTGAATTCAGGCCTCATTGGAGCCCTGCTGGTTTGTAGAGAAGGTAAGTATAAGAAAGGGTAGGGTTGAGATGAAATAAGCAGGCAAGTACAAACATCTGAAAGAGGTTTCTTTTCCCTAGTATCATGCCATGGAAAGGAGAATAATGTAGTCTCCGAGAAGAAGAGATGCCCATCCTATGTAGCCAGAATGCACTCTAATGTTCAAGAAAAGCCAAGTTCTAGAATTAGGTCTCTCTTCTCTTCTTCTACTTTCTACTTCAGATATCCTATGGGCTGTCTCAGTGGTGCCTTTTATAATTTTGTGTTAGGTGCCTTGAAACCTCCATGAAGGTAAATACATCCAAGTGTGTGATCAATGGCGTATAGACCACTTCAGGAGGTTAGTCATCTGTAACCCAAAAACATAAAAATCTGAGAAAAGCAAGCATTTATACATGTTTATAAGTTCTTATTTTAAAAATCATGGTAATTTAAATTAAACCTTTTATAAAAATTTTTTTCCCCGGGAATTCCCCGGCGGTCCAGTGGTTAGGACTCTTCACTCTCACTGCTGAGGGCCCAGGTTCAATCCCTGGTCATGGAACTAAGATCCCACAAGCTGCACGGTGCAGCCAAAAAAAAGAGTAAAAAAAAAATTATTGAAGTATAATTGACCTACAACACTATTATAATTCTAAGTGCACAACATAGTGCCACGTGAATGAACAAATGAAGAGATGCTCAACATTGCTAATCATCAGGGAAATACAAATCGAAACCTTGAGCTATCACTTCACACATATCAGAATGGCTATTATCAAAAAGGCCACAAATAACAAGTGTTGGCAAGGATGTGGAGAAAAGGGAACCCTTGTGCACTGTTGGTGGGAATGTAAATTGGCACAGTCATTATGGAAAACAGTATGGAGGGTTCTCAAAAAATTAAAAATAGAGCTACCATACGATCCAGCAATTCCACTTCTGGGTATTTTTCAGAAGAAAATGAAAGCTCTAATTCGAAAAGATGTATGTATCCCAATGTTCATTGCAGCACTGTTTACAACAGCCAAGATATGGAAGCAACCTAAGTGTCCATCAACAGATGAATGGATAAAGAAGATGTGGGGAATATTACTCAGGCATGAAAAAGAATGAAATCTTGCCATTTGTGACAACATGGATGGACCAGAGGGTATTATCCTAAGTGAAATAAGTCAGAGGGAGAAAGAACATACTGTATGATTTCACTTATATATGGAATCTAAAAAACAAAATAGGGCTTCCCTGGTGGCGCAGTGGTTGAGAGTCTGCCTGCCGATGCAGGGGACGCGGGTTCGTGCCCGGGTCTGGGAGGATCCCACACGCCACGGACCGGCTGGGCCTGTGAGCCGTGGCAGCTGAGCCTGTGCGTCCGGAGCTTGTGCTCCGCAACGAGAAAGGCCACAACAGTGAGAGGCCCGCATATCGCAAAAAAAAATAATAATAAAAAATAAAATAAAAATAAAAATAAAAAACAAAATAAATGAGGGACTTCCCTGGTGGTCCAGTGGTTAAGAATCCATGCTCCCAATGCAGGGAGCATGGGTTCAGCCCTGGGTTGGGGAATTAAGATCCCACATGCTTCACAGCATGGCCAAAAAATAATAATAATAATAACAAAACAGAAACAAATTCATAGATAAAGAGAACAAACACGTGGTTACCAGAGGGGAGAGAGGTGGAGAGATGAGTGAAATAGATGAGGGAGACTAAGAGGTACAAACCTCCAGTTACAAAATAAATTTGTCACAGGGACGAAATGTACAGCATGGGGAATATAGTCAATAACACTGTAATAACTTTGTATGGTGACAGATGGCAACTAGACTTATTGTGGTGATCTCTTGTAATGTATAGAAACATAGAATCACTATGTTGTGGACTTGGATTATATGTATAATGACATGTGTCCATTATGTTAGTATCATACAGTATCATATATGTCATATAGTATCATATATCATATAGTATGATATATATGTCATATATAGTATCATATCACTGCCCTAAAAATCCTCTGTGCCCTGCCTATTCATCCTTCCCTCTCCTACCCTCTGGCAGCCACTGTTCTTTAAATTGTCTCCATAGTTTTGCCTTTTCCGTATGTAGCCTTTTCATATTGGCTTCTTCCACTTAGCAACATGCATTTAAGGTTCCTCCATGTTTTTTTTTTAACGAAATTTTGCCATTTTTTAATTTTTAAATTTTATTTATTTATTTATTTATTTATTTATTTATGGCTGTGTTGGGTCTTCGTTTCTGTGCCAGGGCTTTCTCTAGTTGCGGCGAGTGGGGGCCACTCTTCATCGCGGTGCGCTGACCTCTCACTGTCGCGGCCTCTCTTGTTGCAGAGCACAGGCTCCAGACGCGCAGGCTCAGTAGTTGTGGCACACGGGGCTAGTTGCTCCGCGGCATGTGGGGTCTTCCCAGACGAGGGCTCGAGCCCGGGTCCCCTGCACTGGCAGGCAGATTCTCAACCACTGCGCCACCAGGGAAGTCCTCCTCCATGTTTTTCATGGCTTGGTAGCTTCTTTCTTTTTAGTGCTGAATAATATTCTGTTGTCTGAATGGACCAGTTTATTTACCCATTCACCTACTGAAAGACATCAATTTCACTACTTGATAATTTAAAAAATATAATAAAAAAAGTAAAATCTTTTCAGACAGCTTTACCTGTATTTTAAATTTGTATGGGTGAGTTAGTTTCTTCATCCAATTTAACTTTTACTTTCCAAGCATTAAGTGTACAAGAAAGGACTTCCCTGGTGGCACAGTGGTTAAGAATCCACCTGCCAATGCAAGGGACACGGGTTCGAGCCCTGGTCCGGGAAGATCCCACATGCCGCGGAGCAACTAAGTCCATGCGCCACAACTACTGGGCCTGCACTCTAGAGCCCACGAGCCACAACTACTGAGCCTGTGTGCCACAACTACTGAAGCCCACATGCCTAGAGCCCATGCTCCACAACAAGAGAAGCCACCACAATGAGAAGCCCGTGCACTGCAACGAAGAGTAGCCCCCGCTCGCTGCAACTAGAGAAAGCCAGTGCACATCAATGAAGACCCAATGCAGGCAAAAATAAATAAATTAATTAATTTTTAAAAAAGAGTACAAGAGAAGAAAGAACATTATAAACAAAAGTCTTCCTACTCAAAATAAACCTGCAAAGAAAACTTCCCAATCAAGTGAAAAAGTATGCTAAGAAAGACAGCTAACAAATTCAACAGTTAAAGCATGAAGCAAGCTTATTTGTGACATTGATAACTTTAAATATTGATATACATGGTGTTCATCTAAAGTGTGAGTATGTGTTTAATATAGACAGTACTTTTTTTACTTTGCTCATAACTTTTTTTTTTTTTTTTTTTTTTTGACTGCTGTGGCCTCTCCTGTCACGGAGCACAGGCTCCGGACGCGCAGGCTCAGCAGCCATGGCTCACGGGCCCAGCCGCTCCACGGCATGTGGGATCCTCCCGGACCGGGGCACGAACCCGCATCCCCTGCATCGGCAGGTGGACTCTCAACCACTGCGCCACCAGGGAAGCCCTCTTTTTCTGTTTTATGTTTGTTCTGAATATATACATATATATGAAATGTGGTTATATGGACTTGTAGTTTGTATGTCTTTTAAATTTCTTTTTTAGTAATTAATTTTTAGTGTATCTTATAAAAGTAAGGGTCTGCAACAAATCTGAAATTTTTTAAAAAGCCCTTTACCCCAAATAATTTTAGAATTACTGGCATAGGAGATGTGACACCAAGAAAATAATGTTATGGTGAAGTTAATAAGAGACCAAGAGACAAAGCAGTTGATGAAGTAATGTATCCTCGTAGTGTCATTTTCCTATGAGAGGATTTTCAATAGAAGATAAGTGCTCTCACTTCTTTTTCAGGGAGTCTGACCAAAGAAAGGACACAGACCTTGCATGAATTTGTACTACTTTTTGCTGTATTTGATGAAGGTTAGTGAGCTGCAGTCTGAATTTTGGTCTCCTGAAAGAAATGAAATATATTAATTTAATGTGGTACTTGAGCATGAGGGCTGTTAATGTCCAGAGGAAGTGATTACAGAAATATCATAAACGACATTATCATTCAGGAATGATGCAGACAGGGATGAAAATGAATTCCAAGGAAAAAATGCAAGCTGAGTTTCACTGGCAGCTATGAAGTAAGAAGATAGAGTAGCTGGGTAACCTTGTCCCTCTTATTAAATCCATCAACAAAGACTTTTTTCTTTACTTTCTCTTTGTTTTTTTCGCTTTGAAGCAAAGGAAAGTTTTATTCTTTATGCAAAGAACGGAGAAGTGCAAGCTTGGACTCTAGAGCAAACACCCTTCCGACAGGCCGTAGGTGGGGCTGCTTTATAGGGACGAGGGAAGGGGCGGAGCTCTCCCGGCAGGCGCAGCTGCAGACGCAGTGCGTGCACAGAGTCTCTGCACACGGCCTGCTGCGGCTG